CCCCAGCCCCTGACACCCGTGCTCTGCATCCTATCTCTACGAGGGTGACGCTCCAGGCATCTCATATAAACTGGAATCACACCGTGTTTGTCCTTTGCAGATCGCCTGATTTCATTTTGCATAATGTCCTGAAGGTTCGGTCATGCTTTAGAAAAGCAAAACTGATTTGACCTCCGTAACTTGCTCTGCCCCTGCAATGAGACACAGGGCACAGATCCTCTGGTGAATGAAGGTGCCCCCTGACTGGCATTGTTGTACTCAGGCACAAGATGGAGAGGCTGGGGAGGCAGCACCTTCCTGGGGGTGGCACTGGGAGGCTGTGCCCTGTCCAGTGCCTGGCCAATGTCCCGACTAGGTTGCTGAAGAGCAGGGTGGGGCCAGCGTCTCTGAGAGTGCCCCTGACACTGATACTTCCTCAGCAGGGGAAGGGTGTTCTGTGTGGCCCCAGGGTCTGGGAGCAGGGCTCAGTCTTGGGGTCTTTGGGGCTCACTCACAAGGTCCTCCCTGCCCCTCGTCATGGTCATAGGACATCTGCCTCAAACTGGCCTTCATGAAGAGCGTGGTGCAGGTCACCGATGCCATCAAGAACATCAAGGACCTGGAGGACTTCCAATTTGCCCAAAAGGTGACCCTGACTGGCATTATCATGGTAAGCTGTCTGGGGGAGTCCCTCCATCCTGGGCAGTTTGGGGGTCTCACTCTGCTGACCAGAGGCCATCTGAGGCTCAAGGGGCGGCAAGGGCCTCCGAGTCCCCGCCAGTCTCAGTGCTGCTTTGAGCTGACTGTTGGTGTTCTGCGTGTGACTTTCTTATATCTGATAAAGGTTTTCATGGCCAGGAAACATTCCAGAAGCCGGGGCTGAAGACCCCGCCCCCGAGCCCGGTGATGCCCCGAAGTTGTCTGGTTCAGGGCTGGGAGACAGAGCCCCATGGTCAGCCCCTGGCTAGTCCCAGCGTTTCTCCCTAGTCAGGACCAGGAGGTCGGGCTCTGCCATGGACAGGACTTAGAGCTACTTTTGCCCAGAACTTTGTTAAGATCTAGAAAGTACCAGCTGTGCAAAGGCAAGAGGCAACAGCAGGGCCCCCTGAGGTTGTGGGTCAGCCCGTCCCTCGTCCCCAGACCTCTCCACTCACCTGCGATGGAAACCCTGGCCCCTGGACACCCTCTGGCTGCACTGGCAGCACCCTGGAGGGAAGCGAGATGCGGACGGTCAGGAGGCCCTGAGAAAGAAGCAGACATTCACTAGGCTCCCGCTCGGGGTCGGGCCACACGCATGTAATTTCACAGCAGCCTGGAGGGAAGGGAGATGCGGATAGTCAGGAGGTCCTGAGAAAGGAGCAGACATTGACTAGGCTCCCGCTCGGGGTCGGGCCACATGCATGTAATTTCATAGGAGCCTGGCACAGCCCTGTGAGCCAGGCCCCGAGTCCTCATTTGACACCTGAACAAGGGCTCAGGCTGAGGAAGCGATTTGCCCAAGGACACACAGCCAGTAAGTGGCAGAGATGAGCAAATGCACCTGCCCATCTTAGCCCCACTCCTCCCATGAGATTTGCTGCTTCCCCTGGGCTTCCGTCGTGGCTCAGCTGGTAATGAATACGCTTGCAATGGAGGAGACCTGAGCTCGATCCCTGGGTTGGGAAGATCCCCTGGTGAAGGGAAAGGCTACCCACTCCAGTATTCTAGCCTGGATAGTTCCATGGACTCTATAGTCTATGGAGTCACAAAGAGTTGGACATGACTGAGCAGCTTCATCTAAAACGTCAAAGGCCAACTGACCATGAAAAGAATGAAAGCGCCTGTTGTATTGGATCCCGTAGGACATTGTCAGGTCCTCCTGCCTGTAACGCAGGGCGTGCCCCTGCCATCAGCCCCCCAAGCCCCTGCCCTGGCAGTGGCATGACTCCGGGTGGCTGGCAACTCACTGCCCTGCTGTCCCGGCAGGCAAACATCAAGGCAGAACCGACTGACAGCCTGGTTTCTCCCCCCTGCGGACCATGGCCATGGATGCCCTGTCATACTTGAGGTGAGCCGGGCCCCTGGCCAGGCCCCCAGCGCCGCCCTGGGCTGCAGACAAAGTCTGAGACCACCTCTCGGTGCCTTTGGGGGAAGGTCGCACCTCCTTTGGGGCTTTCCTGAAGTCTCGGACGGTAAAGAATTTGCTCGCAGTGTAGAAGACACACGATCTATCCCTTGGTCTGGAAGACCCCCTGGAGATGGGAATGGCAATGCACTCCAGATTCTTGCCTGCAGAACCCCATGGGCGGGCTATAGTCCATGGGGTCAAAAAGAGTCAGATTCGAACACTTTCACTTTAGACAGCATTACTGGATTTGGGTAGGAGTGGGAAGGCCCGGAAAGGTGAAATATAGGACCCCTTTGGAGGGCAGGAGTTCAGAGTTTAAGTGGAGGGTGGCTCTCCCTTCTGAAGGCAAAATAGAGCCAATGAGGAACTTGTAACCTTTCTGCAACCCTGCCCCACCAAAGACTTCAATAAGGATCCCTGGACCTGGGCATGGCCCCTGGGGCCCTTAGAAAGCTCTCCTGTGACTCTAATATGCAACTAGGCTTGAGATCCACCTATGAAGGGAACAGAAAGAGATTCAGCTGGTGTGCATCATGCAGTTAGCTACTACCACAAAAGGTTTATTAAAACACAGATGACCTCCATTCCAGAACTTTTTTGTTTTTTTCTAAGAATTTTTTTTACGTGGACCATTTTTTAAAAAGTCTTTATTGAAGTTGTGTTACAGTATTGCTTCAGTTTCATGTTTTGGCTTTTTGGCCACGAGATGTCTGGGATCGACTCTGCCCCTCTGGCCCAGTACGGCAAAGCCTTAACCACTGGACCGCCGGGGAGTCCTCCACTCCAGACTTTGTGATTCAGCAGCTCTGAGGTCGAGACACAGAATTTGCATTTTCTAATAAACTCCAAGGGGATGCTGCTGCTGCTCCTGGGCCAGGTATTACAGTTGAAAAGTCCTGGGCCAGGACCACCCAGAAGCAGAGTCTGTGGTTGCAGTCAGGGAGGACCAGTGGAATGTTTCTGAACAGGAGAGAGAGAGACTCAGAGCAGACAGTGATAGGAGAGGTGGCTGTGGACGCCTGCGTCTCCCCTTCCGTCACAGACAGACAGTGGACTGGAGCCCTGGTGGGTGGAGCCGGGGCCCTTGGGAAGGGACAGATGCCTGAAGCCCCAAACAGAGAAGCTGGCCCCTCCTTCATTCTGTGACATGCCTCCTCCCACCACCTCCCAGACTGGGCAGAGGAGGGTCTCAGCTCCCCACTGATCCCTCCTCTTATCACTTCTTTCTCTAGCAAACTGAAGCCTTTCTACTCCACAGAGGCAAGCAGTGAACTGATGGATATTAGTGTACACTCTGTAATTTCTCTCCAGCCCCCAGGAGAGAGCAATGAGTCCATTAAGGTAGTCCATCTGCGCCACCTCATTTTCTGGGTGAGGACTTGGAAGTTGACGTTCACATGGGCAGTGCTGGGAGCCCACCGTCCTGGACCACCTGGGAGTGGTCAGGGCAGCAAAGTACAGCAGGCTCTTTCAGTAAGTGTAAGGTGATGGGAGCTGCTGCAACACATACGCGCTGAAATCTTCATGGTTTAACAAGATGACCGTCTTTCTCACTCGAAGTCCAGCTGGCAGCAGAGGTGGAGAGGGGGCTGCTTCCTGCGGTTGATCAGGGCCGTGGGCTGACAGGTGAGGACTCGCTCAGATCTCATTCCTTGCCATGGACTCCGCTGGGGACGACACTGCAGGTGGGGCTGAGGTGAGAGGAATGAGGAAGCTGGTGACTGGAGGGGAGTTGCCCCCCAGCTCCAACCAAGCAGGTTCTTGAGGGAAAAACAAGACAGGGAAAAACACTGCAGCCCTCGGGTCTGGACCAGCCAGCCGTCTCCCCTCCCAGGGCGCTTTAGGCAGCCTCAGGCCTACCTGGCTTCACGCGGGCTGTCCCCCGAGTCCCCTCCTTTTCTGAACGGCCCTGCCTCTGGGAACCAACCTTCTCCAGGGAGGGGCTGTCGAAGCTCTCGATCTGATGTTCAGCTCTTTGCTCAGACACAGACTCCAGCGGGAACCCCGAGGCATCTTGAGGGAGTTTCTCAGAAACTGGGCGTGGGGGAAGAAGGCACAGGTGGGCAGTGCTCCAGAGGGCTGTGCTCCTCGAGCCGTGACTCTCCCTCTCCAGCGGCTACCCTGGTCTCTAGAGGGCTTTGCCCTTTCAGCCCCGACCCAGCCCTAGTGCTGTGCAGCTTGGGGGCTGCCGGGAAGGGGTCACCCTGTGCTGCCTCCGGGGCTTTGGCTTCCAGGGTGGGGTCTCATGCTGTAGCTGCTTGTGCTCCCCAAGTCTTGTGACAGGAGGGGAACGTGTCCCCTAGGGTCTCCAGAACTCCCCACACGCCAAACCCACCAAGCTGCCCCAACCAGCCCCCAGCCCGGCCTCAGGTGGCGGGATCACCTCTACCTGAATCAGCCTGTCCTCCCACGGCTTCTGGTTCCAGGTAAACTCGGTGAGTTCTGCAGAGAGAAGGGCCACCCCTGCTCGTCTCTCCTGCGGATCGTCCCCGCCGCCTCCTAAATGCAGCATCTGGGGTCCTCCGTGGATGGGCTCCCCACAGCCTCACTTCCCTCCCCACCCTCCCAAGGAGCAGAGTAGGCTGTGCCGGCCACCTGGAGCCCGGGCACCTTTGCTCAGGCCACGTTACAGGCACTCGGCATGTACAGTGATGTGAGGTGGCTCACACACCCCGGGCTCCTTTGCTCAGACGAGGTGGTGAGTACCCGGCATGTACACTAGGGGTGTGTGGGGGGATCACACATGCACTCGGGCTCCTTTGCTCAGCCACACGTCTCGCACCCGGCGGGTACACTTAGGGGGTGGCTCACACATGCACCCGGGGCATCTCACCTTCCAGGTACTTGACCAGCAGCGGGATCCTCAGCTCCTACATGTCGGCCGTGGAGGTGGTGATGCTCTGGCTCAGGGTCTTCAGAAGGTTGAGCATGGCAATTCCGCGGCCCTCCCCCTTGTAGGGGGCGACATCAGTACCTGGGGAACATCGAGACTCCAGTGGGGCCCCTTTCTGGCTGGGCAGTCCCAGGCCCTGCAAGCCCCAACTTGGGACCTCGCTGTCTGAGCCCATAAAGGGAGAGTTGGACGGGATGGGGCCTTTCAAGCAGAGCTCCGAGGATTCCCAGGATCAGAGCATCCCTGCAGAGGATGCTGAAGGCAGGAAAGGAGACACGAGAGCATGGACTCCCTCCCCACCCCGGGTCCCATGGAGCTCGGAGCAGGGTCAACACATGGAGGAGGATGCATGGTGCAGGGCGGAGCTGACCCCCAGGGAAGGGCAGCCTGCTCACAGAGTCCTACGGATGCTTGGGGCCATTCAAAGGCCCAGCAGAGAAATCTGGGAGCCTGCTGCCCTTGCCATATCTCCCCAGAGGGACGATGGGGGCCTGGAAAGCTCTGTCCTGCCAAGCATCCAGCTCTCTGCTCCCCCTGGAGGCCCTGGGGATTAGGAGCTAATGGGAGGGGCTCTGCAGGACACAGTGGGGCCAGGCCAGTGCACGACTCGTGAGCCACTCACCAGGAGTTGGGCCAGCAGAATATGCAGCACGGGTAGATCCACTGGGGAAAGAAAGATGCAGGACACTGAGGCTGCTCCGCTCCTGTACACCGGGGTGCTTCCCCTGCAAGGTGTTGCCCCAACAGCATCCCAGAGCACCCCAGAATTCAGGAGGGGTCAGGACGAGGTATTTTCCTCAAAGGACATCACGACAACTGGCCATCCCGGGGAGGAGGAGCCTGGTGATCTGGGCTGGGGCTGAGAAGATGCTCTTTTTTTTTTTTTTCCCCAATATATTTATTTATTTATTTTAATTGGCGGCTAATTACTTCCCAATATTGTGGTGGTTTTTGCCATACATTGACAGGAATCAGCCATGGGTGGACATGTGTTCCCCATCCTGAACGCCCCTCCCACCTCCCTCCCCATCCCACCCCTCAGGGCCATCCCAGTGCACCAGGCCTGAGTGCCTGCCCTGTTTCATGCAGCGAACCTGGACTGGTGATCTATTCCACATGTGCTAATGTACATGTTTCAGAGCTATTCTCTCAGATCATCCCACCCTTGCCTTCTCCCACCAAGTCCAAACGTCTGTTATTTACATCTGTGTCTTTTGCTGTCTCGCATATAGGGTCATTGTTACCATCTTTCTAACTTCCATACATATGTGTTAATATGCTATGCTCTTTTCAGGACGTGCCCACTTGGGAGTGCACACCTGGCCGGCCTGAGAGTGTTTCTCTTCTCCTGTGAGTCTTGGCCTCCTCTAGCCAACAGTAACTAGACACCTCCCCATCCCCTCCCCTCCCTCTGCAGGCTTTGGGAGCCTGTGAACCCACGAGTAGGGATCTCACAGCATTTGGACCAGCAGGCTAGGGAAGGGCAGGCCTGCTGGAAGCTGCAGGGAGGGGTGGCACCCAGGAAGGAGGCAACCAGACTCGTGGTCCGGGTAGGAGGCAGACCAGGGGTGGTCTAGCCGGATGCTCAGAGCAGGCTCTGCCCCTACCATCGCTGGGTCCTGTAGGCTTGTAGTCACCTTCTGTCACTGGCCACATCCATCCTCAAAGCCCCAGGACCATGGCAGCAGCCCCCTGGGACTGCAGGGTCCCCGTAAGTAGGACAGTCTAGTCCCTTTCTTGAGGGTCTGGTGCTAACAAGTGGGTCATCACGGTGAGTCAGAGGGCCTGGTGGGGGTGGTTCCAGAGGCCTCAGATAGGATATACAGTCCTTCCAGTGGGCTCACGGGGGCCAGAGAGCTCACACGTGTGGGAAGCCTGAGCCAGGACCCCTGCCCTGGGGTCTGGGCCAGGGTGGGTAGGAAGTGGGGATGAGAGGAGTGGGCTGCCAGAGGAAGCCTGCACAACTTTAACCTCCTCGGCTTTCGGCAAGGGCGGCCTCTTTGGGAAGGCCTGGCTCACTGGGCTCCAGGCTGCTTCCTGGAGAAGGGGGAACGGTCCGAGGCACGGGGCGGCCCACCTGCCCAGTCCCTCCAGCTGGCGCAGGGGGTTACCCACCGTGCCTGTTCTTGCTTGTGCTGGCCTGCTCGTCCTTGGCGTGCAGCTGGCGCTCAGCCAGGTTGGTGAGGCTGCCGCAGATGGGGGTCAAGGCCTCCGTGTAGTCCGTCTCCATGATATAGCACGGGAGCCTCACCCAAAATTCCTGTGGGGGGCGATGGGGGTGAGGTGGGGGTGCTGGGGTCAGCCAGCCTGGGCATCGCACAGTCCTGCGATGAGATCGTCAGTCCCTCCCCACCCCGACAGCCTTGTCTCAGCCTCGCTTCTCCAGAACCACACTCTGACCCACTGACTGACCGCCTCAGGCCCGCTGGCTCCACTGCCCAGCCTGGGTCTCGGCCAAGGCCGTCTAGGCTGCACCCACCCCGTAGCCGAGGGGGTCAGCTAGTCCTGGGCCCTTGACCTCTGTGCCCCCTGCCTCACTCCAACCCCGCAGCCAGCACATCCTCTTTGACCAGCCCTCCCTCCAACCCCCAATCCCCTAGAGAGGCACACTGGTCAGATAACCTAGCCATGCTTGCCAACTGTGATGATTAGTTTCTGTGTGTCAACTTGGCAAGTGAATGCACACAGTTATTCAATCAAACACTAATCTAGGCATGGCAGTGAAGCTATTTTGATCTGATGAAAGTCCATAATCCATATAAGAAGTTACTCTGGAAAATGTGACTGGACTTGGTCAAATCAGTTGAGGGCAAAAAACAGGTTTCCCTGAGGAAGGAGAGAGTTTGCCTCAAGGTTGCAGCCTCAGCTACTGCCTGAGTTTTCAGCCTGCCAGCCTACCTCCTAAATTTCAGACTTGCCAGCTCACAATTGCACAATACATATGTTGTTGTTCAGTTGCTCAGTCATGTCCGACTCTTTGCGATCCCATGGATTGCAGCACGCCAGGCCTTCCTGTCCTTCACCATCTCCCGGAGTTTGGTCAAACTCATGTCTATAGAGTCGGTGATGCCATCCAATCATCTCATCCTCTGTTGTTCCCTTCTCCTCCTGCCTTCAATCTTTCCCAGCACCAGGGTCTTTTCCAATGAGTCAGCTCTTCCCATCAGGTGGCCACACTATTGGAGCTTCAGCTTCAGCATCAGTCCTTCCGATGATTATTCAGAGCTGATTTCCTTTTGTATTGACTGGTTTGAGCTTCTTGCTGTCCAAGGCACTCTCAAGAGTCTTCTCCAACACCACAATTCTAAAGCATCAGTTCTTTGGCCCTCAGACTTGTTTATGCTCCAACTATCTCATCTGTACATGACTCCTGGAAAAACCATAGCTTTCACTATACAGATTTTGTCTGCAAAGTTATGTCTCAGCTTTTTAATAGGCTGTCTAGGTCTGTAATAGCTTTTCTCCCAAAGAGCAAGAATCTTCTAATTTCATGGCTGCAGTCACCATCTGTAAAGATTTTGGAGCCCAAGAAAATAAAGTCTGTCACTGTGTCCATTGTTTCCCCATCTACTTGCTGTGAAGTGATGGGACTGGATGCCATGATCTTCATTTTCTAAATGTTCAGTTTTAAGTCAGCCTTTTCACTCCCTTCTTGCACCTTCATCAAGAAGCTCTTTAGTTCCTCTTTGATTTCTGCCATAAGGGTGGTGTCATTTGCATATCTGAGTTTATTGATATTTTTGAGAAACACACACACACACATCTCCGACTTGTTCTATTTCTCTACAGATTCTTTGAGCCATGACTCTAGCCTTTCAACTTGCCCCTGCCGTCTCCCGTCTCGCCAGGTGATCACTGAACGCCCCCAGCGACCCTGACTCCTCTTAGCCCCCCTCCCACCCCGAGGAGTCTGGGGGGAGCTCCTGTGCTACTGACAAGGGAGTGTGCTTGGTGTGCTACAGCCATCGGGACCAGAATCCCTGGCTGCTGGGTTTCCAGGGACGTAGCAGAATGAACAGGAAAGACCATTTTTATCCTGGCTCCACTGTTTACCAGCTTCGAATCCTTGAGGAAATTAATGAGTCCCTCTGAGCCTCAGTTTCCTCATTGATAAAAGCTTGGTAATAATAACAACAGACCTTACCTCACAGGGTGCTTGGGATAATTCAATAAGATTCTAGATACTACACATCTAGTACAGTGCCTGCCACGTGTACTCAATGAATTGTAACCACTATTATTATTATTACTGTAACTGTTATTTTTGTAATTAAGAGAAGCTGCCACTGGATGGGGAGCATCTGGCCCATGGCCTCAATTAACAGACAATGGTTCCTCCATGTGCAGTCACGGTAAACTTTCCCTATCTTACTGCTATGTCACATTGCAATGCAATTAAAAACTGACACATTTGTTCCCCTAAAGCCTGTGAACAGCTTGGGGTCACACTGAGCCTTCCTGTGTATGCCCGGATGCCTCACACAGAGTTGGAACTCGTGTTTGTGAAATATAATCCCTAAAGTCACTTATTTGCACACGCACACATATACACACATGCATGCATATGCATGGGCTCCCCAAGTGTCTCTAGTGGTGAGAATCTGCCTGCCAAAGCAGAAGACAGGTTTGGTCCTTGGGTCTGGACGATCTTCTGGAGGAGGAAATGGCACTCCACTCCAGTATTCTTGCCTGGAAAATTCTATGGGCAGAGGAGCCTGGTGGGCTACAGTCCATGGGGCCACAATGAATTGGACATAACTGAGTGACTGAATACATGTGCACGCGGGCACACACACACCCCTGGACTGAGGGGCTTTAAGGTGATGGATGCATTTCAAGCAATAAGTCAAGTGATAGGTATTAGGCCTACTGTGCGCCAAGCACTGCCCTGCTGAAGGTAATAAGGTCCCACCAAGGAAGTGAATCTTGAGAAACGAGCTCAGGCAATTGAAAGATCTGGGGCCGCCCATCCTCCCAGGTAGTGGGAATGGGAGAAGCAACAGTGCAGAATTCTGGGCCTGTGCTATCCTCCCCGCACAGCCTCGCACAGCACAGACATGAGCCATCAGCCCCAGTGGGCCAACTCACATTGCTCATCCCACTGACAGAAGAGGCTATGATCCTCACGGTGTCCATGGGGACCTTGTGGACCATCTTCTCCTCTAGGCCCCTCTGATAAAAGCTGTCCCTGTGGTTGGTCTGGAAGACAGAACCAAGGAGTGCCTGCTTGTGGGCTGGCAAGGGCTTGCCATGGTCTCACCTGTGGTTTACTTTCCCGCAAGAGGCTTGCACCCAGATACTGAGTCTCCCGGAAGCCCAGAGCTGTGCACGTGTTTCACTATTTTCTAGACCCCTGGCAGCTTACTGTGTGTGTGTGTGCGCTTGTACATGCATGCAGGTTCATTGAGCAGTGCTCTTCCCTCAGCGCAGTGGGAACCATTTCTAAAGCCCAGCCACTCCGCCGTCACTCACCAGTTTGTAGGTGGACAAGGTCAGCTGCACAGACACGAACTTCAGGCCCCAGCCTTTGATCCTGTCCTGGAATCCGGACAGGGCCAGCTGCCCGATGATGCGGAGCATGGCCATCCTCACCTGAGAGGCCAGAGCACAGACATGCTGGGCGCTAGAGGTTCCGCTGAATCCCATGACATGAGACAGCTAAGATTTGAGGGTGCTGTGGTCTGGAAGGGGTCTCTGGGGCTACCTGGATGCTGCCCACTCTGTCCACCACTGCCTGCCTCATCCAGGGGATCCTGTTCAGCAGCAGCTCTACCCAGGTGCCTCATCTGTGCCCTTCAGAGACATGAGCACACTGCTTTCTCGGTAGGGCTGCTCCATCCTCAGGCGGCCCTGGTGAGAACCACCTGCCTCTTCTCTCGGGCTCCCCAGGGCTTACACGTGGGGACGACACAGAACAAGCCTATTCCCTCTGCCCCTGACATCCTCCAGGGACTGAAGACAGCCCTGCCTCAGGCTCAAGACCGAGCACCCTGTTCCCTTCCTGGTTTGTGCAGACCATCACCATCCTGAAGTGCACCCTCAGGACATGAGGAGTCAGCCACAGGGGCCGTGTCCGGAAGCCAAGCTATTCTCCAGGGGGCTGAGGCTGCAGTGGCCAAGATGGTGGGTTTTAGCCTTTATTTGCAGAGTTGCTTTTCTCAAATGTGGTAATGACCTTACAAACACCTAGCTAACCAAGCAGCTTGGGCTGACGCTGGGTGTGTTTGGCCTCTCCTCTCTCCAGGGTAGTGTCAGAGCCCAATCAGAGCAAAACTCCAGGTGCTTGGTGACAGGGAGGGTCTCAGGAGAGGGGCCACAGCTTCGAGGAGTCTTATTCTTCTCCAGCCCCACTCAGGACTGGCTGGAAAGGTAGGTTTTCCATCAAAGGGCCTTCCTTGAGAAGGCAGCCTCGCCTCCACGCACAGAGCTGGAGGGGAGGGGTGGCAAGCAGGCTGCGGCTGATGGAAGAAGGCGCCTGACTTCCCTCCACTTGCCCGGCATAGCCCAGCACACTCCCCCTTTCTGGGTCTCCCCACCCTGTTACCTTGGACCGGGTGTCAGAGAGTGTGTTCTTGACCACTCGGATGGCCAGGGAGATGATCCTGATGCTCATTCTGGGCTCTGAAAGAGGAAAGCCCGCCTGGAGGTCCACTGGCCTCAGGGCTGGGCTCTGAGGAGATGCCCAGAAGTGGCGAGGCCCCTCTGCCACCTTCCACGGGAGACAGAGGTTCAGGACCCGTCCGTGCCGTGACTCCTGAGAACCTCTGACTCACCCCCACAAGCTCAGGGCCGCTGCCCTCAGAAGTCACCCGGCGCTCTCAGTGCCCACCCGCCCCAGCCCAGGGGGTCGTCTCTAGGCCTCACTCCCTCGGCCTCTGCTCCGCGTGTGTCTCTTTGGAAACTAGGGGACTCTCCCTGAGGGCAGGGTCTCCTCCTGAGAGCTCGGGGGTCCCCTCAGCGGGACACACAGGGCCAGACACACAGCGGACACACGCAGACCACCCCGCCCGGCTGCGGAGGCCGGGGCTCCGGAGCCAGGCTGCTGCGCTGTCTCTGGCTCCACCGCATCCCACTGTGTGACCGCGCGGGACTTACTCAGGCCCTCTGAGCCTCAGCTTCCTCCCCGTGACAGGCGGACACTGAGAGCGGGTCCCTCCCCAGCCTCTGTGAGCAGTGACACCAGCTGAGACACATGGGGCCTGGTGTGCAAGAGTGTGAGTGTGTGCCGGAGGGAGGGGGAGGAGGAAGATCAGGGAGGTAAGGAAGGGCGCAGAGAAGGCTCTCGAGAGGTTGGCGTGGACAGAACCACAGTCAGGCAACTCAGGCCCTTGCTACACTCAAGTCTAGGTGCTACTAGACGTCACTGCAGGAGGAAGAACAACAGGAAATCAGATCCTGGTGGAAGATGCGGGAATTCAGACACAAAGGGACGATGTTACACTTAAGAGCTTTTCATCTCTAAAATGGAAACCTTTTTTCTGATTATAAAAATAGTCTATGTTCACTGAGAAATTAAAATAAAAGACAACCAGCCTTCATGGTTTAGGTGTATCCTTCTCAACTCATTTGTGCATAAATGAGCACCTAGATTTCTTTCACATCACAGAGATCATGGAGGTGGACGTGATGGAATTCCAGTTGTCCTATTTCAAATCCTAAAAGATGCTGCTGTGAAAGTGCTGCACTCAATATCTGTCAACTTGGAAAACTGAGCAGTGGCCACAGGACTGGAAAAGGTGTTTTCATTCCAGTCCCAAAGAAAGGCAATGCCAAAGAGTGCTCAAACGACCGCAAAATTGCACTCATCTCATATGTTAGTAAAGTAATGCTCAAAATTCTCCAAGCCAGGCTTCAGCAATATGTGAACTGTGAGCTAGATGTTCAAGCTGGTTTTAGAAAAGGCAGAGGAACCAGAGATCAAATTGTCAACATCCGCTGGATCATCGAAAAAGCAAGAGAGTTCCAGAAAAACATCTATTTCTGATTTATTGACTATGCCAAAGCCTTTGACTGTGTGGATCACAACCACCTCTGGAAAATTTTGAAAGAGATGGGAATTCCAGACCACCTGACCTACCTCTTGAGAAACCTGTATGCAGGTCAGGAAGCAACAGTTAGAACTGGACATGGAACAACAGACGGGTTCCAGATAGGAAAAGGAGTACGTCAAGGCTGTATATTGTCACCCTGCTTATTTAACTTATATGCAGAGTACATCATGAGAAATGCTGGGCTGGAGGAAGCACAAGCTGGAATCTAGGTTGCCAGGAGAAATATCAACAACCTCAGAGATGCAGATGACACCACCCTTCTGGCAGAAAGTGAAGAAGAACTAAAGAGCCTCTTGATGAAACTGAAAGAGCAGAGTGAGAAAGTTGGCTTAAAGCTCAACATTCAGAAAACTAAGATCATGGCATCTGGTCCCATCACTTCATGGGAAATAGACGGGGAAACAGTGCAAACCGTGGCTGACTTCATTTTTCTGGGCTCCAAAATCGATGTAGACGGTACTGCAGCCATGAAATTAAAAGACGCTCACTCCTTGGAAGGAATTTTATGACCAACCTAGATAGCATATTGAAAAGCAGAGACATTACTTTGTCAACAATGCTCTGTCTAGTCAAGGCTATGGTTTTTCCAGTGGTCACATATGGATGTAAGAGTTGGGCTGTGAAGAAAGCTGAGCACCAAGAATTGATGCTTTTGAACTGTGGTGTTGGCGAAGACCCTTGAGCGTCCCTTGACTGCAAGGAGATCCAACCAGTCCATCCTAAGGGAGATCAGTCTGGGGTGTTCATTGGAAGGACTGATGCTGAAGTTGAAAATCCAATACTCTGGTCACCTGATGCAAGGAGCTGACTCATTTGAAAAGGCCCTGATGCTGGGAATGATTGAGGGCAGAAGGAGAAGGGGGCAACAGAGGATGAGATGGTTGGATGGCATCACTGACTCGACAGACATGGGTTTGGGTGGACTGTAGGAAGTGGTGATGAACAGGGAGGCCTGGTTAGCCACGGTTCATGGGGTCACAAAGAGTTGGACATGACTGAGCGACTGAACTGAACTGAAACAGTGAGACATGACTGATAAAGTTTCACCTTCTCTGTTGCTTCAATTTGCATTTCTGTAAAAGATGGGTTTACTGTCAGGAGAACGTCTCTCACATACAGTTGCTCAGCGTGTGTACTGCACAAGGATAAGTAGCTGAAGGGCTGGACTGATGCCAACCAAGCACTTCTCAGGGCTTCCCAGGTGGCGCTAGTGAAACAGAACGCTCCTGCCAATGCAGGAGACATGAGAGATGTGAATTGGATCCGTGAGTCAGGAAGACCCCCTGGAGGAGGAAATGGCAACCCACTGCAGTATTCTTGCCTGGAGAACCCCATGGACAGAGGAGCCCGGCTTGCTGGGAAACAATGGGCGTGACTGCAGCGCCTGCGCACAGCATGTGTGCTTCTCCATCCCTGCAAGACCAACTGCTGCGAGCAGAGGGCGCCTCGTTCACATTCAAGCGGAAGCTCTCTGAGCTGGAGCTCTGGGGAACAGCGTGTCCCTGGGGATCGCTAGGCCAGGCTTAGGGTCTGGGCTGAGGGGATTCGGAAGCAGGGTTTCAGACTAAGCTTAGGCACTAGGTCAACGGGGCTTTAGGGCACATCTATACTGTGTATCTAGGCTTTATAGGCAGGCTTCCAGCTAGCTTTGCGAGTTATACTAGGATTTGTGGTTTGAAATTCAGGCTCAGGCAGAAGCTGGGATCAGGGCTGAAGGACAGGGGCGAGGCTGTGGAGGGTGGGACACAAGGCTGGTTAGGTTCAAGAACAGGAAATGGAGCCAAGGAGAGCCCTGACTCCGCGGCCCACCCAGCAGAGTCTACAGAGAGGAAATGGTCCAGGGACTTCCATGGCAGTCCAGGGGCCAAGACTCCGTGCTTCGATCGCGGGGAGCATGGCTTCGATCCCCGGTCAGGGCACTCAGGTCCCACATGCCGCCGCAGGGTGCGGCCAAACAGTTAAGGGGAAAAAAAGGCCAGATATGACTGACACCTGCCACCCTTGCTCCCGCCCGGTCTCCCTGCGGGGTGAGTGCTCACCATCTGGGCTCACCACTGCCCGATCAGGGCCAGGGTCCCCACGCGGATGGCCTCCTTGCTCATCTCCATCTGACTGAGGAAGAACTGCATCAGCTCCTTGGGGTAGGAGCGGGCTGCAGAGGGTGAGGGGGAAGGACAGCTTCAGTCGTGCCCTGAGTCAAGGGCGGCAGCGGGACAAGGCAGCCCCGGCGCCCGGCGCTCAGAGGGGGCCAGCACTCCCGAGGGTTCCCGGGGCGCCTTACCAGGGGCTATGAAGCTGTGCACTATCTCCGCCAGGTTCTGGCTGCTGAACCGCTGCTGGGCGGGGGCCCTGGAGCACACCTGGGGAGGGGCGGGCAGGGGGGTGGAGAGGTCAGCCCCGCGGCGGGGCACACGGGCAGGAGCCCCACCTGTGCCTCGCCCCCGGCAGGAGGCCGGAGGCCTCGGGCATCAGACGGGGCCCCACCGCCACCCTGCCACCGGTTGCGCTGGTCCGCACACCACAGGGCCTCAGCGCGCCTCCCCTACCCGCCCCCAGCCTCTGTCCCCTGACCCGCCCTGGGGAAGGCCACGCCCCGCGCAGCCCTGGGGCTCTCCTGGACATGCAGCTCCGTGAAGATGATGTGCAGCTGCATCTGCGGGACTGGGCTACTGGTGATGAATGACATCTCCAGGATCTGCCTCAAGACCTGCAGCAGGTGGGAAAGGGTGGCAGGTGACCTTCGACCTACTCAGGTCAAACGCCAGACCTTTGCCCCTTGACGTTCCCCCTCTGGATGTATCAGTATCCCCTGGGAGCTGGGCAGAGAGGCCACCTCTCAAGCCCTGCCCAGACTCCCTAGTCCCACTGTATTTCCAGCCGCCTCTGAGCATTGCGGTGGACACTACAGCTTGGCATGTCTGCACTAGGGCTTCCGAGTGTGGTGTTCAAGGCCTTCTTCCCCTTTCTCCCCTAGCCACCTAGAAGTGCATCCCAACTTTAGACAGAAGGTCTGCACGTGGCTCCCCAAATGCTGCATGATTTTTTCTGTTCCCAGCTCTCACCAGGAGAAGGGCCTCGCCTCATCTGTAAATGAGTGACCCCCTTCACAATATACAGCAGCCCAGGTCACAGCTTGGCTCAGAATCTTGCAAAGACTCCATCTCACACACGTCCAAGGCTGGTAAGAGGTTGAATGGTGTCCCCCGCCACCAGAATCCATGTCCACCCACAACCTCAGAATGTGAGCTCACTTGGAAATAGGGTGTTTGCAGACCTAATTACTTAAGGCTCTCAAGAACAAGTCAAAACCACAATGAGGTACCATTACACGCCAGTCAGGATGGCTGCTATCCAAAAGTCTACAAGCAATAAATGCTGGAGAGGGTGTGGAGAAAAGGGAACCCTCTTACACTGTTGGTGGGAATGCAAACTAGTACAGCCACTATGGAGAACAGTGTGGAGATTTCTTAAAAAACTGGAAATAGAACTGCCATATGACCCAGCAATACCACTTCTGGGCATACACACCAAGGAAACCATATCTGAAAGACACACGTGCACC